TCTCCCAGTGGGAGCTATGCTCTCCCCCACCCCAGCCTGATGACGGGTCCTGCTGCTGCCCTGATACCCTGGCACTTCAGGCATCTGCTAAAAGGGCCCAGAACCAGGAACACAGGTGCTTCTGAGCAAGGCCCAGCTGCTCCTCCAGACCAGGCTTGGGCCAAGCTCAACCGCAGAACCACCACCAGCTGCTGGAGGATCAGGGCAGAGGTCGGGCTGTGACAGCCACCTGTTACTTTCTCCTAATCACACCTGAACAAGTGAGCACATTCTCCTGCCAGATACCAGCAGCCAGACAGCTAGTGCCCCTCCAGCCTAGGAGCGCATCTTCCTCAGACGTGTGCCTGCACTGCCACACACGTGGTGCTGGACAGACCTGTGTACCGGGGGTGGTGTGTGTCTGCTTGTGCACCAGGCATGGTGTGTGTATGTGCTTGCTAGGGGAGGTGTGTTTGTGTGGGTGTGTCTGTGTGCCAGGGTGGTGTCTGTGTGTGGGTCTGTGTGCACCAAGGGTGGTGTGTGTGTGTCTGCAAGTGGGTCTGTGTGTATGTGTCTTTGTGCACTAGGGGTGCTGTGTATCTGTATGTGTCTGTGTGCTGTGTGTCTGTGTCTCTGTGTGATTCTGTGTGCGCACTGGGGATGCTGTGTGTCTATGTGTGCACCAGGGGCAGTGTGTGTGTCTGTGTGCACTGAGGGTGATGTGTGTGCGCACTGGGGACAGTGTGTATGTCTGTGTGTATGTCTGTGTGTGTGTGTTGGGGTGCTGTGCATGTCTGTGTGTGTGCATCTGTGTGTGTATGTGTGTGCGCTGGGGGGAGTCTGTGTGGGGATGTGTCTGTGTGCTGGGAGTGGTGGGTGGGTGGGTGTGTGTGTGTGTGTGTGTGTGTGTGTCCCACGCTGTGGTCAGCTCTGCCCCTCTCTGGGGACTTGCTGGGGCGGAACCCAAGGGCCTCAGCCACTGCTGACGACGGAGAAACGTCTTTCTTGGGGTCACTGTCAGGACTCCTGACTGCACTGCGGGTGCTGATGAGGGGGGACACTGTTCCTCCCTGGAAGGGTGTGGCCCCTTGGAGAGCCCAGGCAGGAGAAGCCGGCCACAGCCAGGCTGCTCGCCAAGAGCTTCCCTGGCCCTAGGTCCCGGCCAGAGGCAAGTGCGCGCGGGAGCAAGGGCCTGATTGGCCACCTCGAGTCATGTGACACCTAGAGGGGTTGTGGGCGGGTGCAGCGGCTCCCTGCGCTGGCCATGGGCTGTGGCGGCTGCCATGTTGCTGTGGCGGCTGCCATGTTGCTGTGGCGGCTGCCATGTTGCTGTGGCGGCTGCCATGTT